CCCCTTTGTGTCTCTGTGTCACATTTTGGTGATCCTTGCAATATTTCAGACTTCTTCTTTATTACATTTGAATGCTGCAATCTCATGATAAAACTTGGGTGAACAAAGAAAAGTGGTTTCTTGAAATGGAATCTACTCCAGTCGAAGAAGCTCTGGAGATGGTTGAAACGGCAACGAAGGATTTAGGGTGTGACACTGAGTTGATAAAGCAGCAAGCAGCAGGGTTCTAGAGGATTGCCTCCAATTTAGAAAGAAGTTCTCCAGTGGGTAAGATGCTATCAAACACCATCCCACACTGCAGGGAAATGGTTTATGAAAGGAAAAGCCCATTGGTGCAGCAAATCTCACTGTTGTCTTATCTTAAGAAATTGCCACAGCCACCCTGACCTTCAGCAACCACTCTCCTGATCAGCCAGCAGCCATCCGCACCCAGGCAAGACCCTCCTCCATCAAAAAGTTTACAACTCATTGAAAGCTCAGATGATGCTGAGCATTTTTTAGCAATAAGGCATTTTTTAAGTAAGGTATGTACATTCTATTTTTAGACATAAGAATAGAAATAGAAATAGAAACTGCTGTTGCATACTTCATAGACTCCAATATAGTGTAAACAGAACTTTTACCCGCACTGGGAAACCAGAAAAATTCATCCGCCTCACTTTATTGTGATATCCGGTTCGTTGTGGCGGTCTGGAGCCAAACCCGCAGTATCCCTCCAGGCATGCCTGTGTACGGTTAGGAAAGTGGAATGAGGCTCAGAGATGAATCCTCAAGCACAGACACCACGCCCACACCCATCCAGCAGGTATTATTACTATCCAATACTGCAGATTAGGGAGCCAAGACCCAGAGAGAGAGCCTGCCTTGCCCAAGGCCATACAGCAGCCACACTGCACTGGCGTTCCCAAAGCTAGGACTACCCACCTTTTAATCCCATGCTCTTTCTCCTTGAGTGCATTGCCTCTCCCAGGAAAATTGAGCCACTGGAGAATGCCAGGAGGGAGGGGCTGAGCACCGTCCCGCTCACAGCAGTGACTGTTTTCCCAGCCGCAGCATAAATCAGAGCTTCCTCTACCGTCCATCTATCACATTGCACACTTTCCTTTCCTCAACACTAGCAAATGTCTCAATCATTCATCTGGAACTTGGCAGATGATAATGAATAATATTTTTATCTTCATATTTGTACTTCCTGCCCAATTTCTACCTGGCTAGGAAGCAGAGCTTCTTAGTCCAGAGGTAATAGACAGGCTTTAAAGGATTTAACCTCTATAATTACAAGTTCATTTTTGTCTGACTCTGTGCATTTTTTTTTTCTGGGGCAGAAGACTTTAGTTTCACCATTTCTGATATGCCCACAAAAGTGAAAACCTTCAAATAAGCCTTCATGTCTTCTACCTCGTCCATTCGCAGTACTTAGCAAGAATACCCTGCATGTGGCGGAAGCTCAACAGATGTTCAGATCTGGGGGGAACCAGGAACTTACTGCTTGCGAAAGGTTCTAGAAGTGACTGGCAAGGAGTGATGGAAGATGGGACGGGCAGCTCTATGCAGTGAAAGCGAGAAAGTGTGGGTTCAGGCAGCTCAAATGTTACTTCTCCTTTTAAATGTTCCCTAATCTCCTAGGCAGTCTGTCCTTCCCTCCTCTGCTTTGTATGAGTGAGTGAGAGAGAACCCAAGAGGGAGTGTACACTTGAGAGACAGCAGTAGCTATCAAAACCTTGAGCTAGAACAGGGAGTGCCGGCCAGAGAGAGGGAAGGTGGGGGAGGGAGAGGGGAGCAGCGGGGAGAGGGCGCATGCACGGTCTAGAGCGAGTGAAGGTGAGAGGGTATGCTGGATCAGGACTGGGGGAGAGAGATCCTCAGGCACAAGAAAGAAGAGAGAGCTAGAGCACAGGAGGCAAGGAAAGCAGACACAGAGTGAGCCAGCAGCCGAGTGAGGGCCACTATGGGCAGGGCAGGCAAGCAGGACTAGGACATAGTGTGGGGACAGAGCAGAGGTCAGGAATGGGGAGAGAGAGCTCATTGCTGTAAACTAGAGCAACCACTCGGGATCAATGTGGCCCGGGTAAGAGAGAGAGGAGGGAGAGGGAAAGATGCATGGCGCCTGTTCCAGAGAGAGACAGAGAGCCAAGCAAGTCCTAAGCCAAAGCACCATCAAGGTGAGTATGATCTTCCCCTTGGAGGAGGATGGGGCCAGGGCAAGGAAGCACAGGTAGGATTGAGGACAGGGACAGGAACAAGAACAGGAAAATCAGAAAACCAGGGTTTGGGAGCAAAAATTAATGAGACAAGGCAAAGCTGGAGGGGAGGGTGGGGAGGAGCCAAGAATGCAGCAGGAGGAAGGAGACCAGCGGGTAAGAGAATTCAGGAAACACATTATGTCTATCCCTGTGTTGCTAAGTCTCCCACCCTAGCATGAGGGCCAGCTGCTGTCCTTGCCTGTGTAGGTTTTCTATATAGCAGTGGCATGCTCTCTTTAGGATTCTGCCCTGCTTTATTTGTCAGCAAGGACAGAGTATATACTGTGCACGAGATCTGCCTGAGCTGCTGCTGAGGCTCCATCATTCAGGAAGTGTGGATTACACACTCTGTCCTTAATTTGCTGTGACTGCTGCCGTTTTCCCATTTTATGTTTTATGTTTACAAGTAATTGCACTGAAATTTCCCAGGGCAGAATGAAAGCAAGAACTGAAACCGCACCCTGCTCAAAAGGGAGAGTGAGGCACTTAACTAAAAGAAGACTTTGGGATTCTATGGGATTTTCCATGTTTGAACTTAACTCTGATTTGTCGGTGGCGATCCTTGAAATTTCAACTGAGCCTTGTCTCTGCAGCTAGTTTGTCGGTTCCTGCAAGATTGGAATTATGCCTGTACGCCTTCCTACCCAGCCTACCTGTCCCTCCCTAGAACTTAAGATAAGATAGGTTTCAACTGAGCAGAGCACAGGAAGTATTTGTTGACGCTGGTTTCATTGATTCCTGCATCGTTACCATCGTAACAATCTTTGACAAGTGATGGCCATAAGGAGGCAGGCACCAGGCAGGCACCGAGCGCAGCTCTGCACAAAGGGAACTCATGGCAAGAGCCTTGCCCTGTGGCAGAAAAGGAGACATTCAAACATTAGGGGCAATCACTCCTCAAGGACCCAGGACTCACAGGTCCCCGTCCTTTAGCCTGTACCCCCACTTTGTTCAGCTCACTGAGAAACCCACCCAGTCAGAAAAAGGCAGCCTGAGAAACATTGAGTGCCTCCACATGGAGAAGCTTTGGGAAGAAGCCAATAGGACATTAATGACTGTTTTAGTTTTGGGTACTAACCAATGCTCTTGGCAGTATGAAAAATCATATTTTTTTTCATTTCTTAAACTGGCATAATGTGCAAAGAGAATTCAATGTTTATGATGGGATGACAAGTGTCATTTCTAGATATAAGAAAGAATAGGTAGAAGGAAAAGCTCATATGTAGAAATGAGAATTTTAGGAATAGCATGAAAGAAGAAAGGGGAACTTGACCTCAGACCTGGATCTGCCTTTCTCACCACCCTTCCTTCCCTCCTAGCCCCTTCACTCCCCAACACATGTCTCAAGGGGACATGTGATTTCCAGTTCTGAATCCAGATCATAGGCTGGTCCCTGAGGGAATTCCTGGCACCCTGTAGTGACTGGGATCGAAGGTTCCAGGAGGCTGGGCCAGCTCTGCCTTGGAAGAGGATTGCTCTGTTGGAACCGGACTGGAGACCATTTTAATAACCACAACAACAGCCAATGCCTGGAGCATTCCGTATTTGCCTGATGCTCTACTAAGCACTCTGTATCATTATTTGACTTACGTCTCCCACCAATTCATGGATTCTCACATCTGACAGATTGAGACAGAAGGCTGGGGAAGTGTGACTTGCCAAGGTTTCCCAGCTTGTAAGCGGCAGAGCCAGGACTCAAACCCAAGTCTTTCAGAACCCCAAACCTGCAGTTTTAACCACACTGCTTGACACAGCACCCTGCTTAGCATTAGATCAGAGGGCACTCTCTAACTACTTCTTCGAGAAAATAGAGACTCCAAACACACTGGCAGCTCTTCTGGCCTGGACCAAAACAACCAAATAAACCCTCCAGCTCATTTTATTGCCTCATTCATCTCTTTCCCTCATTCTGTTCTCCCCAGACTTGTAATCCCATCTCTTTCATTAATGAGCTATATACATTCAGACAAATAATAAGTTCTCTGATGCCCCGTTTCTCCATCCCGAAGGTAAAGAGGTAGACTGTAGGGGGTGAGGGGGGACAGGGGAGAATGGGGGGGAGCTGACCCCTAAGATCACTGGCAGGAAGGCAGGAAGGCCACTGGAGGAAATCTGCCTCCTTTGCTACTTTTAGCTCCTTCAGCAGAACAAGGAGTGCCAGGTCATAGACTTTATATATATTTTTAAGATATTTATGGGGCACCTGGGTGGCTTAGTTGGTTAAGCAACTGCCTTCAGCTCAGGTCATGATCTCCAGGTCCTGGGATCGAGTCCCGTGTCAGGTTCCCTGCTAAGTGGGGAGACTGCTTCTCTCTCTCTGCCTGCTGCTCCCCTTTCTTGTGCTCTCTCTTTCTGTCAAATAAATAAATAGTATCTTTTTTAAAGAAAGATTTTTTTTTTTAATTTATCAGGGAGAGCATGAGCGAGAGTGGGGAAGGGGTGGCAGAGAGAGAAACAGGCCCTCCACCGAGCAGAGAGCCCAATGCGACACTCGATCCCAGGACCCTGAGACCATATGATCTGAGCTGAAGGCAGATGCTTCACTGATTGAGCCACCCAGGTGCCCCCAGGTCTTAGACTTTAAAATCAGGCAGATCTGATTGTGAGTCACACCTGGCCTTGTCCTTCCGTGACAAGTACATCTCAGGCCTCAGTCCAGAAGTGGTCCCACCCCAGGCTGATGGAAAGCTGGTACATATGTATGCGTTCTCTAGGAAGCACCTGTGTGACATTTCACTTCTGCCTCTTTGCTCCCAGCACCTGCCTGCCCTTCTGCCGTCCAAGTGCCCTGACTGTGCCATTGCGCCAGCCATGGAGAACGAGCTGCCAGTCCCCCATACATCCAGCAGCACCAGCAGCAGCTGCAACAGTGGCAGCAGCGGTGGGAGTGGCCGGCCCACGGGGCCCCAGATTTCTGTGTATAGCGGCATTCCTGACCGGCAGACTGTGCAGGTAAGATTCCGGCTGATCTAGAGATCGTAGTCCTGGATCATGTTGGGGCTAGCCAGGAGGACGTGTTGGCATGGTCTGGGGAGCAACTGGGCTGCGGACTCTAGAATGGGCATCAGGGAATGTGTTCATGGATATATACTTAGACACCGCTGGAGAAGAAGTGATGCTAGATGGGTCTGATCAGGGAGGTTCGGGGAGAGAGAGAATACTTTGCAGATCTGGAAAATTCCTATCTCACCTGGTGATTCAGATCCCAGAGTGCTGTTTGGGAGGACAGGCATGTGAAAGTGTGAAGGGGAAACAAAAATAATAAGCAGAAAAAAAGCAATAGGGAGCTACTCAGCTACCACCTAGACCTATTATCTGAAAAACCACTGCCCTGTAATAAAACTAAGTTTCTTAGAGGACCAAAAGGGATCCCCAAAGCAGTGGTCTGCTAAGTGTCATCCCTGAGGCCTTCCGGGTGATGACACACAGTCCCCCACACACCCATGCCCATGTTTCACCATCTGCTTTGTGCCCCATATGGTACAAAAACCACTGCGGATTTATCTAATCCTCCTGCTGGAAATGGGTATTACATTCTTCTTCCATAACGGAGAAGACTGAGGCTCAGAGAAGGTAATAACTCATCCAGGCCATTCAGGTGAAGACAGAAAAGGCTGAAACTCATGCCCCCCACAGCTCTCTGTGTGAGGTCCCCAGATAAGACAGATAGACTGCCCCTAGGAAGTGTTCACTCCAGGGAGCTGGGCTAATCCCCCAAAAATGTATCAGACGTGTGACCTCGTCCTGCTTTGGCCCCTGGCCCAGATTTGGGAGTGGAGGACGGGTCACAGTAGACAGCGAGAGAGTCTGAAGACACCATCAGGTACTCTGAAGTCTTCCCTCTCCGGGTTACCTCTGTGTCCGGTGGAGTAAAGCCATGGTTCCTGCACCCATCCTTACCACCCCCACACCTGGCTTCTTCCCAGCCCCTCGGAACATGAGGGTTTAAGCACAGCTTCTAGCAGCCCACGTCAGGATGAGCCGTCCTCCCACCCCTCATCACAAGTCTAGATGCAAGGGATTGGGGGTTTTCTGTGCTGCGATTGACACCCCCCCCCCCGCCACAGTTGCATTGCGCATCAATGCACAGTGGTTCAGGGCTCCTGCCATTTCCACTTGTTGGCACCAGCCCTCTGGTGAGGAAGAGCCACCATATCTCCGCTACTACTGTCTGGATTGCGGGGATGTTCGTTCAGGAGTCTAAGGAAAATAGAGAGGCCTAGGTGTGGGGAGTAAGAGGAAAGGATTCTGGGAGAGAACAAGGAATAAAGAGCACTGTGATTGTATAAACTGGGACCATTTGAGGAGAGAGAACACTGGAGAGGAGTGGGATCTGAAGAATTGGGCTGGGGTGGGGGAATCCGGAGACCCCAGAGCCCATGAAGAATCTGAGATATTAGCCTGTTTTTGCAGAACTCCAAATCTGAGCCCAAAGATGGTGTTGGTCAAGAACCACCAGCCCTAGAAGTCAGGCTAAGGCAGAGAAATCCAGACTGGATGCTTGCTTGTTGGGGGCAGGACCCAGGGTGGGAAGCAGCCTCATGGTCAGGGATGTGGCAGAGCTAAGAGTAGCAAGTGGGCCAAAGCCTGGCTAGGGCCCACATGGAGCATCAGGAGGCAAGATGGCAGGAGGGTGACCAGGAAAGGAGAAGGGAGGAGAAATGTCTGTGGGGCTTAGGAGAAGACAGAAGATCTCAGGGCTGGGTGAAAGGCATTCACTTTTATTTGTTCCTGGGGATAAGTGGAGGTTTTGAGACACTGGGAGTGAAGGTTGGGGAGAAGGAGATCAAAGAATCAAAGGAAGCCTTTGTCACTTCCTAGAGGCAATGGCTCAGCCAGTCCAGTCTGGAAACAGGAGTAGCAGTAAGGCTGGTGATAGTGATGGTGGCCAGAAAGAGGGAATGACGGAGAGGGGGAGAGAAAGAATACAAGAGAAAGGCATCATCCTTGTGGCACTGGCCTGCTCTCTAAGGCCAACGGGACTTTCTTCTAAGGGACTGATGGAACTCTAGCAGCTGGGGGCAGATCCTGGGAAGCAGCCCCAGCCTGGAGGGTGTGGCCCTTGGGTAAGTTGCGGCTGCTGGCTGTGCTGCTCAGGCTGGACTAGGCCCCCCTTCAGACCTGCCTCTCTCTCCTACCCCTTTCCTTCTCTCCACCTTATTGGGCCTCAGTCCCCCTGCCCTCACTGTCCAGTGCTCCGGTCCCCCAATCTGAGCACAGGGAATGGCCAGAGGGGGAGTGGCGAATAAGCCTGGCAGGGGACACAGTGTCCCTGGAGGCTTTCTCCCCGCTATCTGCTGTCTGTCGCCCTGAGCATCCCCGCTGCCCAGAGCCGCTAAGAGCAGTGGTGTCCTGCTCTGACTTTCCCCACGCCACGCGGGCGGCCACCCCCAGAGCTGATGCAGTTGGGGAGGAAAGGAGCCCAGGAGCTGAAGCTCTGCGGGGGCAGACGAGGGCGGAGAAGTAGGCAGGGTGAAACGGCGCCGGCTGCAGGCCTCCCTAGGCCATGGTGACCCCTTGTAGGGGTGGTCGCTGGCCTGGGGTGCCCCGAGCAGTTAAGGGGAGATGGGGCTGCCCAGGCGTTGGGGAAGAAGGGGTGGGTCCCCGCCAGCCGGGTGACAGCGCTGCCTCCCCGTCCCCCGCCGGCCCCCTAGGTGATCCAGCAGGCGCTGCACAGGCAGCCCAGCACGGCGGCCCAGTACCTGCAGCAGATGTACGCGGCCCAGCAGCAGCACCTCATGCTGCAGACGGCCGCGCTCCAGCAGCAGCACCTCGGTGGCGCCCAGCTCCAGAGCCTGGCGGCCGTTCAGCAGGTGAGAGGGGCAGGGTGGGGGAGCGGGGAGGAGGGAGGAGCGGGCTCTGTATGCGCGGTGCTGCTGGGGGCAAGGGGGTAGGGGCACAGGGGCGGGGGGCGCCCTCACAGAATCCCTGGGCGCAGGCACGAAGGTCATGGTCCTTTGCCAGATGAGGAAAGAGTGTGTGGGAAGTTCGGCCCGGGGCCCAAGTTCACACAGCCCCGTGAGTGGAGTGGTGGAACTCTCTGCCCAGCTGGCCCCAGGAAGAAGGGCCGGGGGAACCCCTCCTCCCCAGGGCACCACACCACACTAGGGGGGGGGCCCTGGAGGGAGTGACCTCAAGAGAAGGCCGTTGCCCACCTAGCTTCCTGTCTGTCCTTCGTGGCTGAGAAGACCTCATGTGTTCCTTCATTCACCAAAAGTCCCGTGTACCCACTGTGCCACAGGGCATGTCAGACACTGAGTCCGCTGTGGACCCTGCCTTTGCAGAGCTTAGATGAGGTGAGAGCGAGCAAACAGAAACCCAGATAGACGAGGAAGCGAAATATCTAAATCTCTAAGTTGCCATAAGCAGTCTGAAAGAGAAAGTTCGCTTGGCCTGAGAGACAAGTGGGTTGTCCTGGGTTGGGCAGCTGGGGACCGTCTGTCTGCTGGAGGGACATGGCGCTGACGCGTGAAGTATGGGAAGAAGCCGGCCATGGGGAGGCGGGCAGACAGAACATGCCAGACAGCCTGTGCAAAATCTCTCATGGGGTCTGTGAGCCCAGTGTGACAGAGCACGGTGGCGGGGGCTACAGAGACCCGGAAAGATAGGTAGTAATCATCACTAATCCTCTGAGCTCTTACGTGTGGATGCTTTGCCTTGCTTCATCCTTTCCGCGATGCTACAAGGTGGGTTCTGTTTTTTATAAAGAGGAAACTGAAGCACGTGCTTGAGGCCACACAGATGAAGCAGAATGAGGGTTTGACTGTAGGCTTTGGACTCCTAACCATCGTCCTCTAGCGCTTCCTTAGAGAGCTTGGGGAACAGCTAGCTGGGGGAGATCTGGGGCCCTTGTGACAAGCATTGTTCTTTTCTAGGCAAGCCTGGTGGCCAACAGACAAGGGAGCACGTCAGGCAGCAACGTGTCTGCACAGGCCCCAGCCCAGTCATCCTCGGTGAGTAGGTTGGAGAGCAGCAAGCAGGACCCACAGCGCTGGGTCCAGCTCCTCCCTCCTTGTCCCAGATGCTCGCGGGCTCCCAGACCCAGGCAAGGAATCCTTAGCCCTGCTCATGGCTGGAATCTATCACTCTTGCCAGGGGAGGGGAAAAAAAAATTGGCTCTTTCTAACCCTTACTTTAGTAACTCCCTGTCACCCTTCACTCCAACGGCCAGACTCTCTGTGTAGAGTTCAGTTCTCTCTGCCACTGAACCCTCCCTGCAGCTCCACATGTAGGCCAGAGATGGGCCAGAGATGGGGCAGGGCTGAGGGACGCTCCAAGACCCATGTGTCAGAGATGGTCCTAAAGAAGGCTGAATCCACCAAAGAACAGAGGAGGGGGAGAGAAAGAAGTGGAGGGGGGGGCACAGAGTTAACCAACAGAACCTCCTGCTTCCTACTGCATGTTTCTCTCTCATCAGATCAATCTGGCAGCCTCCCCAGCAGCAGCCCAGCTCATCAACCGGGCGCAGAGCGTCAACTCGGCGACAGCCTCAGGCATCGCCCAGCAGGCTGTGCTCTTGGGCAACACGTCATCTCCGGCCCTGACGGCAAGCCAAGCACAGATGTATCTAAGGGCACAGATGGTGAGTACCCAGCCTGGGCCGCAGCTCAGATGGCCTGGGAGGAGTACAAAGACAGACAGGTTGGGGCTGGGAGGTTAAAGAGGGTAGGGATTAGAGAAGTGGGGGGGAGGAGCACCCAGGGACAGGCGGCAAGAGGTAAGGGGTGGCATAAAGAAGAGGGCATCTGGAAGGTTGAATGGGAGCTTGGGTACAGGCTCAGTGACCCAAGGACACGTGGGGTTCCCGGCTGAAATGGAGAAGGTTGCTGATGAGGCCTCCTTTCCTTTCTTAATAGTCCTCTTCTTATCAGAAACCACTCCCCCGAATTCATTAGGGTAGAAAATGCAGGGGCCCGTGCCCAGATGGTCAGTATACGCAGATACTTAAGCAAACAAACAGACATCCATGTACTTTACAAAAATGGGGTCTTAACCCCCTGTGTCAGGCCTTACAGGGACCAGCCACCACTAGTTCCAGGACCAAAGGAGAATTCCAGCCCAGGGGGTAAAGGTGATATTCCATTTCACGACACACTGCTGTCTCCACTGCTCTCCCAACTGGGTCCCCATCCAAATCAGGGTCACCCTGTCACCTGTTAATTCAGCTTATTTGAATGTGCCAAATGTGCTCAGGATGGGATCAGCCCCAGACCTGCTTACCTAGAATCTCTCCTCTACACCTGCCCCTAAGGGATGCAAAGGTCCTGAGGTCTGGGTCCTTAAGATTTAGAAGAATTTCCAGGGAAAATAGCAGCATACTTCCCAGGAGACAAATAACGTGTAGCTCTATGTCAGGCTCAGCTCACTGAGTCTGATCTCGTGTCTCCCCTCCTGAAGATGTCTCCCTCTGGCTCCTTGACACGCTGCCCTGAAGACAATACAGTCCTACCCTCCCTTTGCTTCTGTGGCCAGAACTTGACACTTGGGGATTTTCCGGTCTTGCTCCAGCACTTCCTTTCTTGACTCTGAGTTCGTTGTTTGTAGTGTTCCATTCCCTGGGAATAGCCTCTGGGACACACAGTATGGAATAGACTTGCACTTCCCTAGGGAACGGGAGGCCACAGCGTGACCCTGCCCAAACTTGCCTTTGTCTTCGGTTTACTCGTTCCCTTGTCCTACTCAGCTGCCCCAGTCGGGGTCCTTCAGCCTGTCTGCCTCCCTCCCCAGTGCAGGGCACACCGGCCCAGAAGAGTAGACATAGGTGTACCTCAGAGTTTGGGGAAAGCTGCCTATGAGATATCTGCACACCCACGGGGCACCAAACAAGGCTCGCAGGGTTGGAAGTGTCACGCAGAGACCAGCATGTAGCTGGTACCCACCGAAGGGGAGGCAGGCCTGAGTATGGCTCCAGGAACCCGGGTCTTCCGCCCCCATTGTCTCTGTACCCGCCTCCCACCTGAATCTAAATTTGACTAAGAACTGAGAAAAGAATACATCTACTTGGATCCCTTGTGCAGGGGAGTCCCATTCTGGCCCAGACTTGGAGTCAGGAGTGGGTTAGACCTGGAAAGAGGTCCTACGACATCTGTTTGAACCCAAGGTCCCTGCTCCCTGGGGTGCTGTGGAGAGAGTGACTTCAGGGTATCCCAGGAAGTTTGGCCCTCTGGGATGAGCTCCTCACAGAGGCTTCTGAAGTAAACCCAATGTGCATCCCCAGATGCGCTCTCCCCCGCCATCCCCTTCACTAGCCAGCCTGGATCAGGATGCTACAAGCCTCTTGAGACTTTCAGGTGGTCCCCCTGGACTCTTTCCCTCTCTTGCCTCCCTCTTTCCCCATATCTGCTCCTTGGCTGAACTGGCCTGTCCTGTGGCTGAGCCCACATTGGGCAGGTAAAAGGCGCCTCGTTTCCTGTGATTCCAGGCCCAGCCAGGTAACCTGGTGCAGGTAGCTAGGAGCCTAGGCGGCACTGTTCCTTTGTCCCCTCAGCTCATCTTCACGCCCACGGCCACCGTCGCTACTGTGCAGCCTGAGCTCGGCACTGGCTCCCCCGCCCGGCCCCCCACCCCCGCCCAGGTGAGGATTCCATGCTGCTGGGAGGGCAGGGGGGTGGGCACCTCCGTAGAGGGGTACTGATACCGGGTATGGGCACAGGCCTGGAGGCTCTTTGACTCTCTTGAAAGGTTGGGATCTTCTAGGAAAGCCGGGGGGAGACAGGACATCCCGCTGCTCCCAGACTGACTCCTTAATTAATTCCCCCGTTGAGAAGACCTCAGCCACTCTCGACTCCGCTCCATTCCCTCAAACGTAGATCAGGAGTCAGAGAGCAACAGGCTGGGGTAAACGCTGTTGCCAATAATGGGTGGCCATTACTAGCTTTTTCCCAGTATAACTTCTGTGTTGCTTTTCAAGTGGAAAAATCCCACTCTGGCTACACACACTAGCCCCTCTAGTTCAGGAAAAATGGCACGGAAGAGGGAGCAAGGTCAGTCCTGGGTCCCCACCTTCCTCTGGGAGTACACGGATACCGCTGTGGCTGTAAAGATTCTAAGGGCAGCGGGGCAACACCTGCCCCCCAACTCCCTCCTCACCCCAGCTACAGTCCGGGAGAACACTTGGGAGCGAGAGAAATCAGATTGGTCAGAAGCGAGTCGGGCACAGCCTCTGCGCATCCAGCAGAGGGCACCAGGGGCCAGGTTGAGTAAGCACGCTGATCCTGGTGTAAACCTCATCCTGAGATCCTGAGGACAAAAAAAAAAAAAAAAAAAAAAAAAAGATCCTTTGCCTGGTGGCCACGCTGGTCAATTAACTTTCACTTTTGCCCTGGCCCTTTTGAGTGTGGGAAGCCCTGGGCCCCACTGTAGCTGGGAATTCTTTCTAAATGGAATGCATCCCATCCTGATAGTTTGGGGGAGGAGAGGAGGTAACGGAAGGGAGAGAGAGCCCGCCCCAGCCTGGGTGGGCATCCCTTCTCAGAATTCAGTTTCTTCTGCTGACGGATCCAAGCACTAGCATTCTTTCTTGTCCCCTTTAGAAACTCTACCTGCTCCTGGTTCCTCTTTCGGCCCCTAACTCATTTTCTCTTTTCTCTCTTGATTTTACAACCTGCTGTCCCAGTTAGCCATTCCTAGGTCCATCCCTACCTCCTTCCCTGTCTTAGCTGTGTGTTACCACTGCTGCTACCCGCATTCTCGGGACTCCTATAGACCCCTCTTTTCCAGGTACAGAACTTGACCCTTCGAACACAGCAGCCACCAACTGCAGCAGCCTCGGGCCCTACCCCCACCCAGCCTGTCCTGCCCAGCTTGGCCCTGAAACCCACGCCAGGTGGTAACCAGCCTCTGCCTACCCCATCACAGGGCAGAAACACCGCTCAGGGTTCCCCCGCAGGTGCCAAGCCTGGCATAGCTGACAGCGTGTTGGAGCCACTCAAGAAAGGAGATGGTAACAGCAGCGCACCGGGGAGCATTGAGGGCCGGGCTGGGCTCAGCCGGATGGCCCCCGCTGTGGCCACCCACCCCCTCGTCGCACCAGGTAAGGGCTCCAGGGACAAGGGTCTTATCCCAGAAAACCCAGGAGGACTATAAGGGAAGGGGAAACTTTCAAACTTTCCTTTTTCCCACGGACATGCTAAGATCCCAGCCCTGCATCTCTCCTCTTCCCTCTTCCAATCTTGAGGCGTTCATCAGCTCCTTGTTCTATACCATGTCTCCATCTAGCTTTAGAGGAAGAAGCCATGTCATCTGTAATAAAGGAGTCCTTAGCCACGGGCGCAATGGTGAATCTCGGAGTACACACTCAGAGCTCCTAGCCCTGAGAGAGTGGAGGCTGGCGGTTGGGCTATTTTGAAATGCTCTAAGGGTCAGCAAGAGGGATAGGGACGAGCCCGATGCACACAAGAACCACACAGGCAGATGAGGAAGCGGGAAGTTGATTTTCTCATCATGCAACACATTTGTTGACAAATGTATGCCAGTTATGGTGCCAGTTCCGGAAGCACAGAGATAAGTGAGACTTGGGCTCTGCCCTCCGGGGAGGGCGCTGTCTAGGGAGATAGATTGACAAGTACAGTGAGGTACTTGTGATACTCATAAATGTGATACTCATAAATGTGAGCTCTGGGCACTTCAGGGACACCGGGGAGCTGTCTAGCTCTGGGGAGGAGAGCCAGAAAGCCTTGCCAAGGAGGGTGACACTTGAGAAAAAAAATCTAGCGGATTAAAAAATAATAATAATACCCAGATTATCTGTGAGGCAGATTCTGTGAGGGGACTGACTCAGCATCCCCTGAGGCTGGACCTTTTTCTCTGCCTGCTAGCATTGTCCCAGCGCCGCCTGCTGTAGGCAGTCAGTCTTTCCTTAGAAAAGTCTCAGAAGGAGGGCCTGGGTGACTCAGTCAGTTAAGCATCTGCCTTCAGCTCCGGTAATGATCCCAGGGTCCTGGGATTGAGTCCCACGTCTCTCTGTGCCTGCCACTCCCCCTGCTTGTTTTCTCTCTTGCCATCCCTCTCTCTGACAAATAAATAAATAAAATCTTAAAAGACAAAACAACCCTAGAAGCCAGCTTATCAGTCTAGGGAATGAGACCACACTGTTAGACCACCTAAATAAATATAGCTATGCCGCTGCCCCTTGGAACAATTTGTTACTTAAACTGTAACCCTTGGAGGATTTTACTAGTTGCCAAGCACATTTAGATATGGCCTTAAGAAATACATATACTGGCAACAGGTCTTTGGGGAGAAGGACGATATACGACCGTGAAGCTGGGCAGCTGGGGATGCCCGGCTCTCTCAGGGCTGGAGGCCGCCCCTTCAGAGAAGCCTGGCAGCCCGGAACGCCCGGTCAGCTCAGGGTGGAACGAAAACCGCCTGCTTCCCTTTTCTGTGATCGCTCCTTTCTCTTCCCAGAAGCGCCTGTTGTTAGTTAGATGAGTCGTTTGAATGTGCTTGGTTAACTATAAACTTTATCCTCCTCCTCGCTAGCCCGCAAGACCTGACTAACGTTTGACCTTCATCGATCCTTCTGTTGGCTATTGTTTCTATCTAATAAAAGTGAGACTGTGGAGTTGCTCGGGACAGCAGTCCTTTTCGACTGTTGTCCCCTGCTCCCAATCTCTTGCAGCTGACTTGTTTGTGCCTAATTCTTCTCCCATCGCCGACTGGAAGCGGCATAGCTATAGACAGTATGGCTTTACATGAAAGAGATCATCACCCTGGTCACATACCTGAGACCACCACTGACCCTCTGTCTTCATCCAGACCATTTTACCAACCAATCTAACCTGCATTTTTTTTTTCTTGAGAGCCTATGTATGCCAATTACTAGATTAACCAAGAGGGCCAGAATACAACACCTTACCTAAATAATGTGCAGTCAAAAAGAGGGGGCCAGATATATAAGCAAATCCATTCAACTTCAAAGATCTTATTATAGGAGTAAGTCCAAGGTAAGTGTGGGCACAGGCTGCCAACTCAGTGCTAGGATGATGGGTCAGAGATACTGTCCCTCAGAGGAAATGGCCTGTGAGTCTTAAAGCATGAGTAGTTTCCCCACCAGACAAAGCAGGGGAAGATAGTCAAGACAGGGGAAAGCACAAGTCAAGTGTCATGATAGCGAGCAAGAAGGATCTACACTCCAGTCCTTCATTGACTCTCCTTAGGTTTCAAGGGCAAAGGGTTGGTGATTCTCTGCCTTTGGACGGTCACTGCTGAGCTAAGGAAGGCAGCCAGCTCCCGACACATGCCTCACTGCCCTGTGGTTCCAGATGTTTCTCACCGGCTAGCATTGCTTTCATCAGACACTAGTCCAGCTTCTTCCTGACTAGGCTCAAAAGGGTCGAGGGTGGGCATCTTACAGCGAGTTGACAGCAGCTTGGATGAGAGTGAGACCCCAGATTAGCACTTCTACCTTCTCATTCAAGCTACAAACCGTACAAGCCCTACTTCCTGAGAACCATTCCCATCCAAGCCAAAATATAGCCTCTGCCTAGATTGAAGCCAGCCCCCCAGATTCTAAGGACACTTCCACAGAAAGACCAGTTCTCGAGTTCTTTCTAAATGTGCAAGGGAACCCTGGAGTCTCGAGAAAACTGGGTGCTGAGAAAACATCTCCTGTGACCTGGATGATTCGCTAGGCAGCTTTATGCACACCACCCTGTTTAACCTTCGAAAGAACCTGTAAGGTAAATGTGTTTATCCATTTTGCAGATGAGACGATGAAAGCTCAGAGAGGTTATCCAAGAACTTACTACGTATGTTCCTCAAGGTCACATTACGTCCTAAGCGGCGGAACTGGAAACCAGTTCTGAGCCTGGCCGAGTCAGATTCTGTATTCTTGGTCCTTTAGCTGTATTTGCCTCTCCCATTTCTTGCAGTAATTTGGGTCTTTCCTAGGCTTTTCCAGTTCATGACCGAAAAAGTCAAAGGGCCTAAGTTCTGCAGCTTACGGAATCCGGAATCCGGCGGAGGGCTCTCTTCTCCTGAATCTTATAAAGGTGGACAGTAGTGAGTTACAGGCTGAGGCCTGGGGCCCAGGCATGGCCTGGGACTAGTAATTTGTGGCTATATACAATACAGAGACCAGTGGCTCTCCAGAACTTTCTGTGGAGCAGCTGTGAGCCTCATCTAGATCACCCAAATCAGTGGGCTTTGCACGGTTGCTACCTCCTACCATCCTCTCCCATTCTTCCTTCCTTCTTCTCCCCCTTCCTCTCCGTAAGGCAGCGGTGGTTCCACTCCCCCACCCCTACCTCCCAGAGGGGATGCCGCGGGGAGAGGGACATAATCCTTATGCCCTGGTGGGGGCGGCCTGGAACAGCACCTGGCGCTGGGCTCGGGGTCCTCAGTCAGAGGTAGTTTCTGGCCTCCTGCCCAGCCAACCCACTGCGAATGAACAGGGGAATCAGAGCATGTGGGCATGCGCACAGGGAGTGTGTGTGTGTGTGTGTGTGTGTGTGTGTGTGTGTGTGTGTGTGAGAGAGAGAGAGAGAGAGAGAGAGAGAGGGAGGGAGGGAGGGAGAAGCGGGGGTGGCGGGTTTTGTTGGTTATTGGAGCATTTTCGAGCTGGCTGGCTGGTTGCCTCCAGGGAGAATAACCAGTAGAGACCTGCGGTGGGGGGCAGTGGGGGATCATAGTGGAGAGGAATGTGTCCCCCTGGGGGCTATGTACTCCCAGAACAGGCAAATGCTGTAGTCCCAGCTGGGACTGCTCCCACTGACAGCTGTTTGGGGGCAAAGCCCCTCCCCCATGGCGAGCTCCCTGCTGTTCCTGCTCCTGTCACCTTGGCAACCAGCTTCTTTAAGATCTGCAAATAGAAAAGGTCCCTTATGCCCTGAAAAGGGGTGGGTTGGTAGGTGGGGGAGGGGAGTAAGGGGCGGAGAGCAGAGCCTAAGAGGTTGGGCTTCTCAGAAATTCGAGGGCAGAACAAGGGAGGGCTTAAGAGGAGGAGGCAGCAAGGTCCCATGGGCCCCGCCTGCAGGGAAACTGAGTCCTTAAAGGGAGCTGGGCCACAGCTCCACGCAGGCTTAGTTCTTGGGAGTCCTCATTCTAGGGCATAAACTCAGGGCCTTGGCTGCACACTCAGGCCCAAAGGTGAGCAGCAAGTTGCTGACCAGGAAGTTGATGCTGTGAAAAAAGGCTGTCAGGTCATTGAAAATTCTAGGCCTTTCCACACAATTGTGCTCCAGATGCCAAGTCTTTGTTCTGTCTCCTCATCCCTCCTCAGGTCTCATCAGAGGAGCGAAAACTGCTGGAAAGGCCTGCCACATAGCAGCTTTGTTTTATCACAGAGAGGGGTTTGTGTCAGGGGAATAGTGATTTCTGTCTGTGATAGGCCTGACAACGTGGTACTGGATGATTCTAGGACTCTTGGGTACCACATTTCTCTCCCAGAGCAGCTTCCAAGCTGTGAGATAGATGCTTTTACTTAGAGAAGCCAATAAAAACAAAACATACAAGTGGGCTCGTTATCTCACTGGAGTCAAAATGCCCAACAATTCTGATGTTAGCTTCGTGCAACCAGCCATGAAGGTCATTTCAACTATCCACTGTAGGACGACCGAATTTAGATTACTAAGAAGTTCCTCTTTATAGCGGGGGTAAAAGGTCTCGGGGATATCAGTGGAGGCATTATATATTTTGCTTAACACATCATGGGTGTGTACACATGTGTGTGTGTGTGTGTGTGTGTGTGTGTATATGACAGAGACAGAGGAAGAGGGTACAACTGTGATACACAGAGGTCCTTGGAACTGTTGAGCCTTCTTTCCTGAAATCCTTCCCCCTAGGCTCCTATTATATTACCTCCATGGGTCATTGCCAGCTAATAATAATAATTACCAGTTAATGAACAATCCAGTCACCATACAAACGTGTCCCAGGCACTGTACTAAATACCCACATATCTTACCTACATATCTCATTTAACACTAACAATGATTATTCCATTCCCCCAAATGAAGAAGAGATGGCTCACAAAGACTAATTAACTGTCGTCCCCAAATAGTTTTTCTCTGTCTCTTTGTTTAGTTCAGC